ACGGCGTCTTTTATTCGTTCCACTGGGGTTTAGCGGGTGTGTTTATAAAGAGACGAAAATTGTTTGGGGACTATCCCCCACCTTCTAGTTGAGATGGTATAACCCAAGAGGCAAAATGACGCTTGCTACTGTTGTTGCGAGTTGCCATTCGTTCTACTAAACCATGAGTCAAACGCCATCATGTCTTCTGTCGTTATTACACAAACAAAAATCTCTTTACCGTTACTAGTGTTTGTGCCTCAATATGGCTACGCTCGTGAAAGCAATACAACGAACTCAAACGCGTCTTCGTTCAATGTTGTCAACTAATATCCGGATTAATTTTATTATTTATTTTATTTTCCTCAATTCTCGGGAGAAATTTTCATAAAAATTTGAAAAACCTGGAATTCCAGGAAAATCCGGAGGACTTTCATCTCTGTGACATGAAAGAACAGTAAGATTACACATGTTACTGACATAACATTTCCCGATTTCAAAAACTGATGAGTGCCTGTGAGAATTACAAGCAGCAGCAGCACCTCATCAGATAAATGAGAAAGAATATCATTTTCATCTGTCTTCTTTCATTTATGCAATCAGATGATGCAACATCTGGCCACATACAGACCTATAAATATTTATTCTCTTAATATGTGACCTCTGACAACTTTACATCGCATTACCGTTTTCAAATCATTTGAAAAAAGGATCTGTTTTGATTTGTCAACCGTGCTGAAGTAGCGCAGCAAGATTCAAATACATTCAAATTTCCCTCCGCTATACATGACCAATCCAAATCACAGCCAATAAGAAAATCACATTTTATTAAATTGCATAGTGCTTCTACTTGTTTACTCTAAGAGTGCTCATATGTACAGGTACTTATATTTTATAATATGAATGGTAACTTTTCTTTGGATGGTTGTATTTTATGATATTTAAAATGTTCTTTTAATGATTCCCAATAAATGAAACTCATGAAACTATCCAAACCTAATTTTTGTTGTGCATATTACTTTAAATACTACTAGTATTTTTGCTTGGCATACTTTAAGCCCTTTATACTTGTCTACTTTATGTCCTACTGTACAGTTGGCATTTTTTTTTGTTTTCTGTAGTATTTGTTTTATGTGTAATAAAATGTCTTATGTGTCGATAACTTTTTTTTAAATGCAGAGCCAGTTTGAGTGCATCATGTAGGCCAATATTAAGGTATCAATCATGTACTTGTTTGCCATATTTATTGGGTATCTGTAGGGCTGTGTTGAGGAGAAATCCACAATGCCTCCACTGCTTCAGTAAGTAGTGACTGTGCAACATAATTTTGTTGAAACAAATTGTAGAATGATGACATTCCACATGATGGAAAACATTGTTTATGATTAAACTGATTAATTCCTTAATTGTGCCCATTCCTAAAACACTTCATGACAGCGAGCACACATTTTGAAAAGTGCATGTTTATTGTGTGAAGCATGTTTTCATGTGTTACCTACTGGAATACACAGAAGCATTGGGTCTACTGGCTGTCTGAAGGGCAATGACTCTGAATCCTGTCTGTAGAGGGATTCCAAAGTCGGCATCAGAGCCTGGCGCAACTCCTCAGGCTTAAAGACTACAAATTAAGAAATTTAAAAGAAAAATATTAGTAGAGTTACTTTGAAACGCAAGAAAAAAGGATAACATCTGACCATAAAAACAAATAAGTGGGACAATTTACTGACGCACAGGTGGCAGGTATGTTTACCGGCACTGGATTTACACAAAATGTTCAATGTCATGGTCAATTTGCAATTCTGTTTTGGTTTGGTTTGGTTTTTGCTCTGAAGTGACACTAACCTCATACAAGTCATGGCTTGGTTTCGCCGACTGACCTTTCTTACGAGAGGGCGAAGAGGAGGATGTTCTGTTGGTTCCTTCCACTTCCTCTTCTTTGGGTTCTGTCTTCAGTTCCATCTTTTTCTCCCCTACCTCCATTGGCTCCTGCTTTTCCTCTGGCTCCTCCTTCTTCACCAAAGAGGAACTCGAGTCTTCATCAATCTACATAGAAGGACAAAAAAGTCACAAAACCATTCTTTTTGCGTTCTATTCAAGGTAAAATACTCGGAGGTAAAAGAATCATCTCTAAATGCCTGATATGTGGGGAAAATATAGCTTAATCCCACCTCCATTTTGGGTTCAGTTTTGCCGCCAGCGGCCTCAAACTCGAGTTTGTCATGATGTGTCTCTGTTTTGACCTCCTTAACAGGTAGGTCAGCTGTGACATGCTGTGAGTGCAGGTCAGCACTAGCAGCTGAGGCCGGCGTGGGCACCCGGTTATCCAGACTAGGCCCTGGCTGAGTCAGCTATAAGGAAAAGAAAGAAAAGTAAAGCTATGACTGATGCTTACAGGGGATCAATGTAGTTGTTGCATGCATAGCTGAATGTACAGCACAGATAAATGCCTCTGATGTGAATTTCACGGTTCCCCTAAAAATGCAACAATCCAGGGGTCATGGATGCTACAGCACTGGTGAAATGCAATTATCAGACAGCAAGGTTAAGAATGACGGGATGGGTTGGCACATGACAGCGAGTTTGCAGGGGTCAGAGTGGAGGGCATGCGTAGGAGCTCAGGCTCACCGGTGTGGTAGGGGGCTGAGGCAAGGGCTGAGACAGGGGCTGCGTCTGTACTGATGAGGGGATCTCCACTTGTGTTTGGGGCTGAGTTGGGCAGGGTGGGGTGGCACCTTGGACAGACAAGGTAGGAGTAGCACTACGGCTGGAGGACTGGGGAAGGGGCAGGTTAGTACCCGCCCCGGCCGTGGAGGCGGAGGAGATCGCAGGTGGAGGAGTTGAGTGCAAAGGGGTTTGGGAAGAGGCTAGCTGAGGGCCCAGCGAGGGAGCAAGTGCATTCATGGGAAGGTTAGCGCTCTGCTGCTGTTGCTGCTGGAGAAGACACACACACACACACACACACACACACACACACAGACACACACATACGGAAGGCGGACAAGCACACATGATAAGCAGACAAACCAAGTTAGCAGATCAGACAGACAAATCACCACACCACACACCAGCAGCAGGTTTTGGCTTAGCGAACACCTTAGAATGGGAACAAATCAAGTTTAATCAATGAATTAATGTGTATTATGAATGGTTAAACAGCGAATACTAATGCCCAAATATAAAATAGATGCAATGATTCAAAAACCAACTGTAATGTTCCTCTTGAACACAACAAATCCTGCGACAGTAAAAATGATTACAAAATTCGGGCCTCAAAAGCGAAAATCTACACTTTATAATGTAGCACGCATGAACAATATCAAGAGAGGACTGAAGGCAAGCCAATTACTGCCACAATCTCATAATATGAACAGTGCAGAAATACATGAACAATGACACTTTGAAGAAAGGCTGAATGATTTTGGAAATACTATGGAATCACACTTTTTTTCCTAGTTTGGCTGGTCCTGACACAAATACTAAGGTGTAACTTGTATACATGTATGTTAAAATTAGAGCTGAGACTGACACCTAAAATCACCATTGTGTGATGTATCGGGCATCAGCTACAAAACTGATTTATTATTTACAGCAGCAAATGGCGCAATAAGTGACCTATAACTATATATAAGTGACCTTCTAACTTTGGCCACAATGTAATATGGGATTCTAGTTAAGGTAAAACATTTTAAACTAAAAAGAAAAACTTCAGCAGTTAAGGGCTCAAGTTTCAAATCTTTCTGAGGGGAGAGAGGGAGAGGAGGAGAGAGAGTGAGCGAGAAAGAAATAAAAGAGACAATGAGAAAAGGGGAGGTGAAAAGGGAGGTGGTGACACAGTGAGCTTTATCTCATAGCGTGGTTATGGACGTTTTTTTTTTTTGTCCGCAACACCCCGCCCCCCCCTCAAAAAAAACGCTGGCTTTGTGATTTGAAAAATTGCATTCTACTACACTGCAATGCCAGTTTGCTTTGGGTATGATTATTCCAAAGCAAAACGGCATTGCAATGTAGTAGACCGCAATTTTCAAAAATCCTCCTGTCAGCTTATAACATGCAGGGGAGGAAAATGTTCAGTGGCTCTAAATCTTTAGTGTCAATGTTTTATCAATTGCCTCAATGCTGGGGATGTTGTGTGAAAAATAATGAACATTGTATTCAATGTCAAACGGCTAAAACACTTTCACTTTTTTTGTTGGAATTTGCAATGCTTGTGCACATCACTCATTTAAGTCTCACCTGAGTAACAGCAGCTTGTGCTGGTGACTGACTCATCCCAGCTGCCAATGTGACATTCATTGCCCCTGTAGCAGAGACAGCAGTAGATCCTGGAGGGAACTGAGTCTGAGCCATAAACTGTCCCTGGCTGGCTGTCTGGCCCACCATGTTGCCACTGTTGTGACTTGCTATCATACCCTGGGCTTGAGGCATCCGGGAGGGTGACATTCCCACCTGGACAACAAAAGCAGACAACACTATTAAGACATCAAAAGTATTTTTTCTTTCTCAACTTAAGATCATTTGCATTAAAAAAATAGTAGTTGAATAACAAGAAACAGAATATGCATTAAACATTATGCATGCTTGTGTCGATTACTGGTCCCACCAGGAATTCAGTCTATTTTAATCATTAATTAAAATGCAGGAGCAGCTTTCCCAAAACATCACTGGTAGGATGTTAGTGGGGGTATTTAAAAAAAAAAAAAAAAAAAAAAGACAATCTGTAAAAAAAGTAAATATATCAAAAACACCCAGACTAATTACAGTAATAACGATTATGATAACATCCACCACAACCACACTACCATGACTGAACTTCTGTTCATATGAGAACAGAGTCGTCAAAGTAAGTTCACTAAAAAGCAAATTGAGAAGATGAACGATTCATGTTTGACCTGTTAGCTTTATTAATGACATATACTATAGAAGATTGTAGCAGTCTAAAAGGCATACTTTGTTACTATTGGAGGTTGCGATTGACATAAAACATGAAAAAGACTACATTTTGAGGTGGCAAAAGTGTTGATAACACTGGTACATAAATTTGTACGTTTTATTTTTTTAATTAGAGATACAAGTAAAATTTTCTAGATTAATTTTTCATGCTTATTCTGAATCTGCGCTCATTTTTTTTCTCTCGCACATCAGGTTTTCATAGTAATGTTAATTATATATAGTGTATGAATTACAGGTCAGGTTCAGCAAGAGTTGATTTTTTTTCTTAAACGTCATAGTTACAACTGCATGGCAATCCATATTGCACAAGCGTTTTATTGGTCAGAGTGGGTGAAAAGTTGGGAGGACTGTTCAAAATTGCATGTTACAATGAAATCACGGGGTTTAGTTGAATTAGCCTTCATGCAATTGAGACGTTGTGGAAATACTGCAGGCTGCTGTGATATATTGTACATTGCTTGAAATTACCTGGCAAAAATGAGTTTGTTCCTTTGAATCTTGGTGGTTAATAAATAGACAGTACAAAGAATTTTATCATAAAGCTCGCCTGGTTTAAATAATGGTCATGTGCACTCAATTTGAAAATGCTGCATCAATTAAAACACATTGAATACAGATGTATGAAATCACTGTGAACAACTTTAGGTCACTACTGGCTCATGTGCCTTCAAACACAAAGGTGTCCCGATTTTCCCGGCCATCCTCACCGCTGGAACAGAGCTCATGTTTATTTGTTGTGGATGGTTCATTGGAGAGGCTGCACGAGCCCCCATTGTCGTCTGAGACATCTGAGCGTTGGGCAGACCCATGTGATTAAATTGGTTGATTCCTGTGGGATACGGAAAAAAACAATACTCAGCAATCGGCACCCTGAAGCAGTGTAAAAACAAGTGCCTCGACTTCAAGAACCAGTTCATTGTTCTGAATGACAAGTTTAATTGACCTGAATCAAATGTAATTACAACATCAGGTCCATGTCGAAAATACAAGACGTACCTTGTGAAACCTGCATGCGGTTCATGATTTGATTTGGCATGTTGGGCAGAGGATTAGGTCCATCTAAACAACAACAAAAAAAGTCACTCTTTCAAAACGCTAACGATGCAAGTAACAAACAATTTTATTTTACCTTACACCAATAGCAACCTAAAAATATTTAGCTATCACCATACCACAGGCTAAAGAGTGTATTAATATTACTGTGAGGCCCATCAAACACCGCACGATATGTCCGAACCAGACTTGGACTGGATTATGGCAAAAACATGAAAGATGGCACGTGGAGTGATCTATGGATGCCCTGCAACATGAACAGTGCAAGCCCATAAGGTTTTGAGGCTTCACATACATAATGTTGGACTGGATCACCTTTTTCCCCCCCAACTATAAAAGATGGCATGTCAGCCATGGAGGGCGCAAGTCTCTACTAAAAGAGGATGTGGGTGAGAATTTGAGAGAAAAATGAGTGTGTGTGTGTGTGTGTGTGTGTGTGTGTGTGTGTGTGTGTGTGTGTGTGTGTGTGTGTGTGGTGGGGGGGGGCCTCACTCCCATTCACTTGAGTAAAACAACATAGGCGGTCGATCCCATTCTTTACCCATTTTAAGCGATTACCTGACAGGTAATGTTGAGAAACCACTTGGACAATCGGACAATGCAAAATATGGCCACATGCACACATATTTATCCTCAAAATATAGGACAACTTAGCAGGGTGCTTCCATTTGTAAATAATTTGATGAAGGGGTGTTTTGGCCACCCCTCCAGAGTGACAGTTTAATTTACAGAACGACATATTACAAGAAATATGAGGCTATATGGACATTAAGTAAAGCTGAATTCATTAAAAATGGATGCGATGCAATTTTGGAAACATTCTTAAAAGCAGCATTGCACAAACAGATAGCATTGCTGATACTGCAAATAATACACTACACATTATCATGCTTCTTATCTTAGAGGCCCTGCTCCTTGGCTAACGTATGCACTACCGTATTAATTCCCAGTTTTCAGACGGTATTGTGTGGGGCTGAGTATGAATGTCTATTTTCTTCTTCCTCAACGCAGTTGAGGTTTACTCTCTTCTGTAGTGAATGCTGTTCCACAGGTGAAAATTATACTGTAACATTGATCATTTATTCTGGTGTTTCATGACTACATTTAACGATAGCTTGGAGAAGGTTAAGTATGGTTTAGCCTTTGTACATCGTCCCCTGTAAATTCCTACTCGTTCTCCTTTCGTGTCAACGATACTTCAGAATCAGAATCATCTTTATTGGCCAAGTATGTAGAACACACAAGGAATTTGTCTCCGGTATAACACGCTGCATTAGTATCATCATAAACAAGGACATGACAAATAGGTATGGAAGGACATTTCGTAATGTAAGTGAACCGTAGTGCGGTGGTACCACCCAGTGACAACTGTGAGACAATGTGCAAAGTATCAAGCAGAGCTAAAGTGATCAGTGGTAGAATACAATACTATGACAGTTGTACAGTTGGTGCAGAAAATCATTGAACCATTTTAGAGTGACCAGTAGCAGTATTTGTTGTACAAGAAGAATGACTACGTCAGTGACTGTTTAGGGAGTTAATGGCTAGAGGGAAGAAGCTGTTTAAGTGTCTGCTGGATTTGGTGTGCATGGATCTGTAGCGCCTGCCTGAGGGGAGTAGCTGGAAAAGGTGGTGGGCAGGGTGCGGGGGATCCAGGAGGATTTTCCGTGCCCTTGTTTTGATTCTTGCAGTGTGCAAGTCCTCAAGAGTGGGTAGGGCGGTGCCAATGATTTTTTCAGCCGTCCTAACTGTCCGTTGAAGTCGGATTTTACTTGTCAGAAGTGTTGCGTACTAGAGACTTTTAGAGGCTGCTGTTTAGCCAACACACTCGCCAGCCAGCCAGCAGCTGTGGACTTGCATAGCAGCGAAGCTTGTTTTCTACACGGTGAAAATGTGATGACATCAACACACCAGATTACTATTGGTTTGTAGAGGCCCAATAATACACCAGCCAATCACACGCAGCAGTATTTACAGCGCGTGCTTGCAAGCTCCCAAGTTAATCTGCTGCGCATGTCGTATCATCATTTCCAGAACAATTTCAACCTCGGCGGAACAGCAGATGGGAACTGCTCGTAACAAAATATGGCCAAATCTGTACACTTGGCAATGTGGCATTAATTCTGTAACATTTTATACTCACTCTGTGGCCTGGGGCCCAAGGGGCTGGGCTGTGGGAGACCTGGTTGCTGGGCACCCTGGGCAGCCATGGGTGCCTGATTGATGATCTGTTTCTGTAGACGTGAGCGCCTCTTCTCTTCCAGTTCTTTTTGGATCTTATAGATTTTTTCCGCAAGGAAATGGTAGTATTCATCCTATGTAGAAGGTAACATTAATCTCATATCAGCCTGATTTTGGGGATTATGAGGCAGGATACATCAATATTAAGTGGTTTTGGGCAGGTAGGTGGTTAGTTTAAGCACATACCCGGCTATTAGCTGATTCATACATGTCCCCCTCCACCTTTCTTGCATAAGCAACGAGATTCTCCATCCGTCTGTCCTTCAATGCTGCTGGGTCTGGGGTAGGAAATATGGCTTGCACTCTGCAATGGAAGATGGGAATTGAGATAAATGAATTTAAAATGCAGCTAAGCAGTTGCCAAAAAATGCATGGTTACAGCAAACCACTGGACATAACCCAAGATGCCGATAGCACAATTATTTGTTGTGATAAATTCTATTTCAAATTCATTAAAATTAGATTTTAGGACTGCCGGACAGCTGCAAAAGCTTTCTGCAGAGATTCAACAGCCTTAAAAATAGTTGAATCACAGCAGTAAATAACAGTTGTCAGCATAGAAATGTGAATTTGCATAGGACAAAATTTAGACCCAAGTCATTGATAAGATCATAACACATACCAACCATCACATTTGATACACTGGGACGTAAGGCTGAGGTAATACAATGAATCCAGTGTCCAGATTATCATATTTTGCATTTCATAATGTGTCGCCAATTTTCCAATGGAAGACAGGTCTGGACTACTGGCAGGCCAGTGCAGTACCTGCACTCTTTTACTGTGTAGCCACTGTTCTAAGGCAGGGGTGTAAAATTCATTTTTGTCCTGGGCCACATTGTAGTTCCGGTTTCCCTTGGAGGGCCGTTATGAATTTTGGGAAACCATATCAATGTTTAATTCCCTCCAAATATTACATACACAGCGCACAACAAATTGACGAATAACTAGTTTTAAAATCCGAAATCAAGAATAATGACTGTTATTGTGGATTACGTATGACATTTTGAAATTTTGGTTCAGGCTTTAACAAGCATCATGGAACTTGACATGCTTGATTTGCTTTCGCGGGCCACATCAAATAATGTGGCGGGCCAGATTTGGCCCCCCGCCCTTGACTTGACACCCGTGTTCTAAGGGATGCAGAATGTGGCTTGACATTGTCTTGCTGAAATAAATAGAAATTCCTGAAAAAGTCTTTGCTTAGATGGCAGCATATGGAGCTCAAAAACCTGTATGCGCCTTTCAAAATCAATGGTGCCTTCACAGATGTGCAAGTCACCCATGCCATGGGCAGTAACACACCCCCATACCATCCCAGATTCCAGGTTTGAACTTTTTGTTGATAATAATATGGATCATCATTTTGTTTTATGACCCACAGTACATGAGACCCAGATTCCCCAAAACAATTTGTAGTGTGCAGTCATTAGAGCAGGCACACTTATCTACTTCGCGTCAATCCATCTAGAATAAGTCCCCAGACAAACCGGCAAGAGTTTCTGGGTGTTGCTTATAAATAGCTTTTGATTTTCATCGTAGAGTTTTAAATTGCATTTGTAGATATTATGACAAACTGTTAACTGCCAATGGTTTTCTGAAGTGTTCACAAGGCAATATCCTTTATACAATGCTGGCAATTTTTAATGCAGTGACGCCTGAGAGATCCACGGTCACTGCCGTTATTCAATGTTTTTTTTTTTTTCACATAAGCAGCAAGGCAAAAGCCTTGCTGCTTATGTGCAGAGACTCTCATATTTTTGATGATATTATGGACCGAAGATGATGAAATCCATCAATTTCTTCCAATTTAACATTGAGAAACATTTTTAAACTGTTATACTATTTGTTCATGCAGTTCACAAAGTAAATGAGCTTTTCGGGGATGCACCTTTATTACCCAATCATAACAGTCAATTGTTTGCAATTAACCTGTTCACCTGCGTAATGTTAAAACTTAGTCTTTTGTTGCCCCGTAGCTGTGTATATAATTTAATATAGGTTTTGCAAATTATTATATTCTGTTATTTACATTTTACACAACCCAACTTCATTGAAATTGGAGTTTGTACATACAACAAAGTCAACCACCAACAAAATAAAACACTAATGTATCTTGGTGACTTACAATAAAATGACCAAGACACTCACAGCAATGCCGCGTTCTGGTAAAGCTATACACTTACAGTTTGTGTACCAGGTGATTGCGCAAGTCCTGTGTGACATGCTCATGCCAGGCTTTCCTGGTGCCTGTGGCGGAGATGGGTGCTGCTGTTGGAAGGTTGCCCAATGAGCCGACGGCTGATCCATCTGACAATAGCTGACTAAGGATGGAAGAAACCAGGTGAGACATTACATATGATAATGTGATCAAACAAGGAAGGGTTCAAATTCATGACTATGTCAAGCAGCTGCAAACAAGAAGCAAAACTACTGACTTGTTCGTGTTGAGTGTGTTGGGAAGAGAGTCAGTATGCAGGCTTGTCTGTTCTGCAGTGGTCACACCCATTGCAGCACCTGTAAGGGCCATCTGGTTACCTGTAACAACCATGTTTTGAGTACACCTCGGTGCCTTGATTTCATAATAGAAGTTTAACTTGGCTACCCAAGTATAACTTTCAGTGGTAAATGATCAAGTCAGCACAACTGGGAAAGACTGATCAAATCATGACAAAACAACGCTGTCTGACTTTACCAAGTGCATTGATGGATCTCATCTGTTGGGGAAGCTGTTGCTGGGCCTGAACATTCGGTGCACCTGTCGGTGGCCCAGGACCAGAGGCCTGTTGGGACTGGGCCTGCCCAGTGGCTTGGCTACCATAAGGCAGCCCGAGTGCTGCGTATGCTCTCTGCATGGAGCTGGGATCAATGGGGGTTGAGGTATTGATAGTAGGCGCACTAGACTGGCCCACTCCACCTGTAGACATGGGATTCTGGAGACTGGTATTGGGGGAACTCAGCATGGCTAGAGAAAACGGTCAAAGCAGCATTCAGTCAATAATACATTTTGCTTGTGGCTATTTTGAAAGACAATGAAAATGGGTATTAAGTCCACATAACCATTCAACGGCAGTTGTGATATAAAAAATATATCACCAAGATTAATTATTTAATTTTTTTCACCATTAATATGATTTATAATCTGTAAAACTCAACTGAAGATAATTAAAATCCTTTGAAAAGGAAATTAACCAAAATTGACCAATCAATTGTTTGTTTTATCTATCAAAGATGTGATTCCACAAGTGTGCTCACCCTCAAACTACAGATATGATCAGTATCAACCAATCACATTCAAATTCATTAAATTGGAGTTATAAATTGGATTCGAACAGTGGACCCTGCGGTTACTGGATCACAAGTCACCGTCGGTTTTTCCTGACATTTTTTGGAACCTGTACTAAACAGCCAATACTTGCCACAAATCCCGAGAGTTACTTCAATGTTGCTGTCAACCTCTTAGCAGAATCATTGACCGGTTTTATTGTCATTTTTTTTCATAGTTTTTAAGAAACGCCCAGTTTTGAAATGATTGATTTTGGTTAATTCTTTGATACTGAAAGAAAAAACAAAAAAAACAACAAAAAACAAACGAAAAAATTTCAATAGGTGTTTTAAGACATTGTTTTTCTTCTTTCTACCCACAATCTTGCTGCTGTAGACTGTAAATTTCCCCAGTGTGGGACAAATAAAGGATATCTTATTTATATCTTCTGCACATTACAGGATAACAAAACAACTACAATACATAAAAACAATACAGACATTTGAATGGGTTAAATATATTTTGTTGTGGATATGTTTTTTTCTTGCTTCATTGTCTGTCTTAACAGATTTAACCATATGAAAATTCTTAATATGCAAGGAGCCTATTCCTTGTACTTACGCTGCTGTGTCCGCTTGTCACTGGCGTTCTTCAGCGGCAGGCAGACTGGACAGTCATGCCGTGTGCAATTTTTCCAATGGGAGATTATCTGTCTGGACGATGCGCAGTGAGCCACTGCAAAGATATGATACAAGGAACAGGCCTGAAAGTGTAGTCAATTTCAGTCATGAGGACAACATTTAAGAGAAAGACATGAGACTAAAACTAAGCTCAAGTAGTTCAAATAATTTTCATTTTGAGTTTGGAAGGAAAGGTGATTTTCAGATTTTTCTATTGGAGAAGAACAGTTTCTCATCAAGAACAGTTACAAAAAAACCCTCTGTCCAGAAAGGTCATATCCCTGCAGCCCTGGGATGCCCGGATCACACAAGTGTAGTCACACAGCATCAAGAAGCTCATGAGAACAGATGAAAACTGTGTTGTGGTTGGACCTGGACAAAGGTTACAGACAAATACCACACAAGCTCAAGCTCATAGTGCAAGAGTTGTAAGAAGTCAGGAAACCAGGGATGAGCTTCAAAACTGTTTGACTGCAGTTAGTGTGGACTTTAAGACTACTACGACCACTACTAAACCTCTCACAATCAGGGGGATGACATTGTGACACAGTAAAAGTACTTGGGAGTAAAATTGAACAACAGAATGGATTCAGCACCAGCCTGGATGCTGTTTACAAGAAGGGAATGGGCAGACGATATTTCCTGAAGAAGCCCAGATCCTTATGTGCAGCAACATGCTCGAGATGTTTGACAAGTCTGGAGTAGAAAGTGCCCTTTATTTTGCTTCCGTTTGCTGGGAGAGTAGCATCAGTGCCAGAGAGGGAAAAATGGATCGATAAACTCATCAAGAAGGTTGGTCACACCATAGGACTGAAAATGGGGCCGCTTGAGTCAAGTGAGGGACCAGCGATCACTGAGAAAAGTTCTCTCATCTTGGATGGTTACTAACTCATGTTAGCAACAATCTTATATCCTGCACAGTGGAGGGAAGAGGAATTTGCCCTGGTAGTGATTTCGGAGTCCGAAGAACGGCTAATGGTAGTTTTGTGCACATGTCAGTACATTTTAAATATATAGAAACAAAAACATTGCCTCCTGCAACATGTTTTTGGTGAATTGTTGATTAAATAGAGATTTAGTGTTGAGATGTGGATATACTTTATGGTGAGATGAATTATATATTTTTCACCAGCTTTTATTTTTACTTTCTGATTACAACAAGCTATACAAGGGCTACACAAGTGCCAATGCAATTATATAAAAAAAAAAAAAATACATTAATATTTAACAACTGAGTTAAGCATGTCTGTGAAGCCCTCGGCAACAGTTTCTCTTTTTCACATGGCACTTAAAAAAACGAATTGTCCACCCCTGACTTTTTATACGATGTCATGTGAGATCGCTAGCTGATTTAGCACAGTTCTTTAGGGCAGTGGTCCGGTGCCCATCTCTTTTGGACCACAGACCGGTTTTGGTCCTTTTTGTCACGACATATTTTGATAGACCGTCGAAGCCACAGTGAAATGTGACTGAGAAGACAGTCTAGTCCAGTGGTTCTTAACCTGGGTTCAATCAAACCCTAGGGGTTCGGTGAATCGGACTCAGGGGTTCGACGGAGCCTCTGCCATGGAAGTAAAGACACACCTGACTCAAGTTGTCAATTAGTTATGACACGCCCACTTGGCCATCACTGGCTGGTTCATTTTGTGCACAATTAAAAAAAAAACGTACATTAATGTCTTCAAATTTTATTTAAGTTTTTTCTGTTTTTAATAAATGTGTTTTTTTATGTCTTGAATTTTTAAAAAAAATAAATAATTCCCCCACTAATGAAGGGTTCGGTGAATGTGCATATGAACTGGTTGGGTTCGGTACCTCTAAAAAGGTTAAGAACCACTGGTCTTGTCAGTGGTGTCCCCATGTTCAGCCATCTACAGCATTCCTCGAGTCTACAAGTCTTTTGCGTGAGAACCAACAATGTCAAGCCACTCACAATAATAGTTGCCAATACTGTACTATGCAAGGCACTGTGATGCCAACTTAAAAAAAAAGCCTCACGAGTATACCTGGACATAAGATTATTAAAAAAAAAAAGTATACCTGGACATCAATGCCTTGTCTTTTATTCTGACATTAACCATAGGAAGTAATCATTGTGGCTGCTGACTTGACTTTTCGATTGTAGGCTGCCCCATCCACAGTGACTAAGGTGCAATTTACTTGGAAAGCAAATGCATGCTGCGGCAATTGAATCTGGTGAGCAGATTACTATTTTCTTTCGCTATTTATGAGAACCTGAGCACAGCTTATGTGCAACCTAGATTGACATTGGTAATTGAACAAAAACTGCTTAGAATACCCCACTAGTCCTAATTACTCCTAACGTACCCTGGCATGACTTCCCAGCTTGGCAGTGGGTCATGTGGTTGAGGACGTTCTTCATGGTGCGACAGTGAGGTAGGGCACAGGCCCGCACCTCCCCATTGGCCTGCTCCCTTCGCTGGCACTTATGTGCATGCAGCAGCAGGACCAGCTGCTGCTGGATTAGCTTGCGCTTCTCTGGGTCGGCTGTCGGACCTGCTGAAGGCACTGCCACACCTCCACCACCGGCCAGTGGCAACATTGCTGCCTGTTGCTGTGGCTGCTGCATGGGCAAAAAGGACAAGATAGAAATATCAGTGCTGTGAATGAGTGAAATCAAGTCTTGATGTAGAGTCACAAATAATTAAAAAAAAAAGTCACAACAAAGTCCACACTTGAGATAAATGCAGTTATATTGTCAAATTTAGCTGCTTTGAGTTCTGCGTCACATGGACTCAGATGCAGCGTTTGCTACAGTTACCTTTAGAAAGTAATGTTACTTTACTGATTACCGTATTTTCACGACTTTAAGGTGCCATTAAAAGTCTTAAATTTTCTCCAAAATGGACAGGACACCTTATAATGCGAAGCGTCCAGTGTATGCGCCGAGTTCCAAAGCCTGACTGAGAGCACTTCTGGCCAACACGCTGTTTATATAGAGAAAAGGCGGACGTGAGTGACGACAGGCATGCGGAAGTCCGCCAATGAGTGAAGGGTGGGCGTGTAGGAGGACGCTAAAGGCACGCCCCTAGCAGGTACCAGTCGCCAATGAGTGAAGGGTAGGCGTGTAAGAGGACGTTAAAGGCACGCCCCTAGCAGGTACCAGTCGTGTGAGTACGTTGTAAAATGGCTAAATAAAGTACAACCGAACTCAGTTTTGCTTCCGTTGCCTTTTTAAAAACATGTTTTTAGTGTGTGTCCGTACGTCTTAGCTGCTACCGTATGCTTTAAGCTAACATACCTTGTATGTTTTAGCGTGCATGCATGCTACCGTTTGCTTCGAGCTAACGTGTTTTTAGCGTGCGTGCATGCATGCCATATGTTTAAGCTGGCGTATGTTTTACCATGCCTGGCTGCGCCCAATAATACAGTGCGTTTTGTGTATGTGTCAAATACAGAAATAGCACCCATTACTGAGACTGCACCCAACAATACGGTGCGCCGAATCGTCGTGAAAATACGGTACATGATTTTAAAAGTGACTTTATTGGATGAATTAAGAGTTAATAGAGTTAATTTGTTGGAGGTGAATTTTCACCCATTTTTTTTGCCCCCAAGAGAGTCAACAGGGTTCTGAGCATCTGCCTATGTCACCTTTTGGCAAGCTTCCCCTGCAAACGTGAACTAATTACTCATGTAGATTTGTGAGGAAAAATATTAAATTTACCAAACTGACAGAGGTTTTGGATGACGGCAGTTATTTGATTAATAATTTGAAACACAATGGAAAAAAAGTTTGAATGTGTGTACTTGACACTACAATACAGTCCATTTCACAACATGAAATTAAATGTATTGATTTCAAAGAGTGTACTTCTACACCACAATGCATCTAACAATCAATTATTTCTCCACCCCTTGTTTATAGAAATGTTACGAGACAATATGTGACAGGCACAAACCATGTTTGGCACACTGTTGACAGCTGCCGCCTTGAGTTCATTTGGGAAAGGTGGTATACTGTTGGCAAGGTTGGACTTGTTCTGGAGCTGCTGCTGAGGGTTGAGCTGCTGGCCGGGGCCTGCAGCACTCTGTCCATAGGACTGAGTCACAAATTGACCCCCATTGCTACCCAAGCCCATCTGAAAAGACAGGAGAAAAATTGCGATTAATACAACTGGATTTTGCAGCAGTAACTTCACCAACAGCAAGACTGTAGTTAACCTTTAAAAATACATTGCTCTACTTAAACTACCATGGATGCACTAGCAGCAAAACAGCTCTGGATTAGTTGCGGGCAGGACTTGCACTCATGATGAATTCCCCAACGGCTGTACATTTCACCTCATCGCATTACAGGGCCCAAAATAAAAACGGATTTGCATCGCAATTTGCAAGTCAAAGTTCGTATTTTGTACCCAAACAAATACACTCCAAATCTAAACTGCGAATATGCGTTTGAGGCACAAACGCTTTGCGGAAACAAAGCCATTTGGTTGAAATTGGAGGCATAAATGTTCTGCCTCAGGCTGTTGACTGCATTTGAGTACAATGTGGTTTAAGAAAAAGAAAACATTGAAGTTGGCACGGTGATCAATGGCTAACACGTCCGCCTCACAGTACAGAGGTGCAGTGGTTGATTCCGGCTGCGGCCTTCCTGTGTGGAGTTTGCATGTTCTCCCCATGGCTGTGGGTTTTCTCCAGGTTCTCCGGTTTCCTCCCACATTCCAAACACATGCATGACAGGTTAACGGAACACTCTAAATTGTCCCTAGGTGTGAGTGTATGGGACGAATGGTTGTTCGCCTCTATGTGATTGGCTGGCAACCAGTTCAGGGTTACTTCCTGTTGACTGTTGCAATAGGCTGCAGCACGCTCGCGACCCTTGTGAGGATAAGTGGATTAGAAAATAAGTATGTTGCATCAAAACTACTCTGGCAAATACAATTCATCAAAAGTTACTTGAGTAAATGTAGCGGACCAAGTGTAGTGCATCATTATACACTTTTGAACATCTGATAGTGATCACAAAACATTAATTTAAGTACGTCTGTCTTATGAATGTGAATGAAATGGATGGATGGAAAACATTAAGTGGGAGCCAAGTGACAAATGTTCTTTTCAATAAGTTCTATGTGCCACCACTCGTCTAAACTTGGCATTCAGATAAATATGACGGTCGTGGAATAAGAATTAATCAGACAAATCCACCTGTTTTCATCCATCAATCCTCACCTCAACATTGCCAAAATCACGGCTCACAGGTTGTCTAGATTTGGTCACCTGACGTTCACAATATGAACAGGTGAACCTGCAAACAGCAGGCAGTAGAAAATGGTGGAGCTCTATGTTGGATGAAAACAGGTGGCTCGATCGAATTAATTTTTACTCCACCAACACAATATTAATCCAAATACCGTCTTTCCACTAGTGGGGCACATTGTGCGCATTATTGAACATTTTTTGTTTTGAACTTCCCCTTTATATATTTAAAAAAAAAAAAATCCTTTAAAACACCCAAACTAGAAATGTAAGGCTGAAAGGAGTCCGAGTAATTTGGGTACCTCTGTTTAAAAAAAAAAAAAAAAAACGTGGTCGAGGCATTTTTTTCTGCTTCGAGTGCCCGCTTATTTACATTTATACTGTCAGGAAGAAGTCAAGATAACCGCAGCAACAATTGTTGGTGCTATACAGTAAGCATGACAATAATACGCTGCCAACGCGGAGAGAACGCCAACTTCAAAATAAAGCTTAGCAAATAAGTGGCTGCTTGTTAAGTTAGGTGACCGTTAATGTGGCAGAAAATGGAAAATTGTGGGTTTTCACCCACAACACACTGAATATGAAATAATCAATGACACTTATCGCATAATATAATGAATATACAGGGCCAGTGGGAGAACAGGCAGGGCCACCACAACATGGTTCATGGTGGCCAGACAGAGCCACCACCCAAAAAGGATTAATGTAGAACTCTGAATGTTCTACTGTTTCATGTCTCATGATGATCGCGAGTGATGTCCCATTATGATCCTGTGTTTGAAACACAAAGGTTCAGTGTATTACAAAGCATCACATGACAAGCACCTGCCTGTTACATGGTTTTCCAGGAGTGATACACCCTCTTTCGCTTCACACACACAATAAATACGTTCCAGGGTTTAAGCTTCTCTTCCCTTAATAGTTCAAGACTCAACCGGTCTTATAAATATTGTGTCTTACAACAGCACTTAACAGTATTTATAATTCCACATGTGCCACTAAGAAAAAAACATTCTTCAAAATGAGTAAGTTGCTCCTCAAATGAAGTTATTTACTAATTTTTTTTTTTTTTTTAACTGCTCCTCAAAAAATGTTAAATCGAGCTACAGGGCAGACCACGACGCACGATTAATGGACCACAATATACTATGTGGTCGAGCGTTGAAGCTTTCCTATGTGTGAAATAAATGCTTGGCCAATGTCAACCCTGGATAAACTCTTTAGAAATTGTATTAAAACACCCAGAAAACCATTCGAATGATTGTGAAGAAGGCAAGGGGTGCAACTCACCTTGTTAATGTTGCTCGCTTGCTGTGCTGCACTGAGCGTAGCATGTGCACCCATCTGCTGTCCTCCCTGGGTGAGAGTGTCTGCCAGAGCACTGCTCGCTCCAGATGCAACTCCTTGCATCGATTGTCCCTGGTACTGCATGCCAACCACACCTGCTCCTCGCCCTCTTCCGGCACCAGGCCCAAGTCCCCCGTTCATGACCTGCCCAGGTTGGGGCTGCCCACCCTGCGCCAACAGCCCAGAATGACCCTGGCTATTATTCATCAAGGCCTGATTGAAGCCGGGGTTGTTCAGACTCATTGTTGAAGCATTGTTGTTGTTCTGCCCTGCTACTCCCGTTGGTGTTCCAGCTTTTGGGGCTTGAGGAGATGGGTGATTGTTGGGTGAGCCTTGGCCTAGTGGGCTCTTACCCAAAGGTGTCCCAAGCTGTTGCCCCATGCTTCCAGGTTGAGGGCTACCAGAGCTCAGCCCTACACCTGTCATCGTGGATGTGCTACCAGCTCGTAGAAGCTCTGAGAGCTGCTTGTGTTTTGCAGCGGCATCGGGGACCGCAGTACCACCAGACCCAGGTGCTGTTCCTCCATTTGTAGGCATCCCGCCCATTAGGCTCAGGTCGCCGCCATTGGGAATTAACTCATCTGGAAGGTCATTTTCTAAATCATCCCAAGACAATGATCCAAGATCTTGAATAGAAATAGAAAGGGAGAACTTTGTTAGAATTGTCTGTGATGTTTATTGGTACATTTGAATAAGAAAGATACATTTTTAAATGCCAATTAATGGATGTCAAATTGTTCTAAATCTGTATATTATTGGCAGTTTTAAAACAACTTTTTCATCGATCAGGAAAACCACTATCTCACCTGTCCAGGGAGAACCAGTAAATTATTCAGTGTACATTACACATTTATACCTCTATTACATACTAATAATCACCACACCTCAACTAGACTTGAAAAAAAACTGTCATGCAGTTATAATACTCAGCATAAATAAGTCCACCCCGCAAAAAAATGTGAGAAATTTGCTTTCAGGATCAACATTTTCTTGAGTATATATCAGGGCTAAACCATTTCAGGAAAAGATTGAATTGCAATTTTTAAAGTATTTTAAGTAAATATTTTCTGTTAAGAGGCAAAAAGAATAAGATTTACTCTTCTCTCTGCTTCTTTTCATTCTAATTTTACATTTTCATGAAAATTAATTTTTTCGCTTTTTCTTCTATTTAATGAAATAAATTCAATAACATAATAAATATAGTCCCATAGCAAAGCTACATTAATTAAACAAAAAACAAACAAAACCTACCGATGCTGTTTTAAGACCTATCATTGTTTAAATCTAATAACTAAGCACCTTAGCTTTCAAAAAAGAGCAAACAACCGCAAAAAAATAAGGTGATATTCTAAATATGTAATGTAGTTTTAATCTGATGAGTGAGATTGATTTTACTTATTTAAATTTATCCAAAGTATTCCTCCTGGCTGATGTAAGTGATTTGGGCGGGGCTGTTCTTACTAGGTCTTGTTCGCTTTACTATTATTCTTTCTTGAGACCATTAATAATGAACCTGTTAATTTGCTGTTCATAGCTCATAGCTTAAACGCAATTCCAGGTCGACTTTTGTGAAATGTGTACTGTACACGGAAGCACTTTTGCTGATGTTTGGTGACCCAATATTAGCTTAGTGATTAACACTGACTTTCGCTCTGTCGTTGTTCCCACTGATCTACTTTAAGTGATAACGATGCTTATTAGAAGTGGAGCTAATTTTCTGCCATCGGGGGAGAGGAATAGTTACTTCAAGGAGAGGATCTCCATGCAGGAAGATGAATGTTAGAGTAGACAAATACAATGTTGTCATGTTTTAAGGTTTCATTTTGTTACATGCTTGATTGACCTCGAAATGCTTGTGTTCAGACATCTTGCACACAATGGAAGTAGAGAGAATCAGGGGTCAATTTGAGGTGAAGGGACCCATAAGCGCATGGTACCTGACTACATCTCAGAAAGAAAGATTTAACCCTCATTAGTAGACACACTGGCGCCTCTTAACTGAGAACTTGGAAAGGAAGATTGAACTTTGGACGGAAGGGAGTACTCGGTAGGAGTACTTGTACGCTCCATCATGAGAAAGGGTCACGAGCCAGGTTACAGACGTATCAGTTCATGGAAAGACCACTCATTAAAATGTATACGTTTCTGTTAGTTTATGGATGTTGGTGGTGGTACCAAGGGAATGCTTTGTCTTTGGGGGTCCACAGAGGGGCGACCCAATGGGGCCGTCCAGGGGTGTGGTATGTAAATGAAGATGGGAGTGTTTTTCTGATGTATTACTTGTAATTTGCATACACAATCAATAAAAAGGCCGGCAGAGGCTGCAGAGGTAGGGTGACAGTGGGAAGCGCACACTGAGGGGCTTCATGAAGACCTGCACCTCCTGCCGGCAGCGAAAGACAATTCGTTCCCGTGTTCGAGCCTTTGTCAACTGTCCGAGCGAAAATCTCTGACAATGATGTTGAGAAGAGTTGCGCCAGCTAATAAGTGCTAGGGTTGGGAATTGATGAGATTTTTACGATTCAACTCTATTGATTCATTTATTGATACTTTTTTTCTTAAGAGGCCCAAATCCTAGGACTCCTTGAGTGACACACATGCACGCACAAGCCCCTCCTCTTCGCCACGACAAGCTTTATAAATCACCGCGACCAAACGCACCAAGACATGTGGGCCAATGTGATATTTCATTATCGGTCTGAACTCAGCATTACGCTGCGAGTCTCTTGGTTCTAACTCTCCACACTCCCCAAAAAACAAAAGAAAATGCATAGCGTGCAAGGCGCCATTGTGACAGAGTTTAACTGGAGTGCAAATTGAAATTTTCTGTGCGCATGCGCACCACTTATGTACACCCCCAACTATTTGGGCAATATAAATGTCACTTTTCAAGTTCATCATTAGCAACATACCTAAGTGACTTATCATGTGACTCAGTGGGAGACAAGATAATTTCTGAATGACTCTCCTATCTGGCACCACTGGCTGCGTCCAATGATATTCAGAGAAGAGTCCAAAACTAAATGGGGACACTTACCCTACTAACTTCTCTAAATAAACGATCTTGTTTAAAGGCCTAGGGGACGATCAATCTTTTTTGCTCACTCGGTCGTCTCAGCCCTTCCTTTCAAACCAGCAGACACATGGATGCCTGGCACAGCATTCATTTCTGAACAGAGACACACGCTCTCTGAAAGCTTGCCTGGAGGCTCTTTGGCTGTGAACCAAAAATGCAAAGCAATGTTTTGGTTGGGTAGCACCACATGCAGCTCGAGGAGAAGGGGGACAGTAGTCTGACTAGAAGCCACAAGGGAATTGCTTTTTTCTTTCCATTTCACTGATTTGCAATGCAACTTTGCATGTTTGTCCCTATCACGCTTGCCATGTTACAGATTCTAAATTCTTCATTCCAAGTGTAATTTCACAATTGATATACAGTATCTAAAAGGTAACAGGCATTTAAAATGAACAGGAAATTGAAGGAACAAGGATGGTCTAATTATTTTTTTTCCATGACTGTACAATAATGTAGTGGCACTTATTTACAAAATGACATGGAATAAGAAAGCTCAGGTTTCGTGAAATTGTTTTAGGATTTCAGAATGGGTTTTATGTTCCTTTCCAGGAAATTAAACTAATTTAAAAAACTACACAATTGAACATTTTGTGAATCTCAAAACTTAACACTCAAAACGCAGCACTCTATTCTGTTAGTATAAATTCTCTTGATTAGTGTTGTCACAATACCAAAATTTTGACTTCGATATAGAGGTGGGCGATGTAGATGTTTCGGTATTTTCGTAAACATTTTTACGCTGTGCAATTTTACATCATCGCGTATTTTAACACCGTCTCAAAAGAAAACACAAACATGAAGCTAAGATTTAAAGGGTAAACGAGCACTTGACCTGGATATTGTTAACACATTGCATACAGTATGATAATAAATGTAATTCAAACTGAGCTAATTTATTATGCGCTACAATGTGGTGACATCATCTTTCGTAAATGTCTCCATTTTTGACATCATCTTTAATGGACTTCTCTATGAAATGAAGAGAAAGAAAAGTGTACCCTTCATTTTCCCCCAAATCGCTCAAAAGAACTACTTGATCATTTTCTACTTATCGGTTACAATGGAACTCAATGTATTGCCCGCAGCAAAATAGAGACAAATCGGACCACTTCGGATTTCTGCATACGGTTACCATGAAGGGATTACATTTATGCTGTGAATTTACTGAATACATTGTTCCTCTCTATCCTGTTTTGAATATAAATCATCTTTCTCTCTCTCTCTTTTTTTTTTTTTATAAATAGCCATCAATGAAACATATCAACTTGATTTACCACTGCAGTCTTCCAATTTCCAAATGATGTCCATGAGATCTGTGGTGTCGAAGTAAAGGGCTTGCTACCTCGAGTGTTTAACCCGCTCCGACCCTCTCATGACATAATGAGCCAGCTAAAAAGATGCAGTAGCTCTAAGACGTTATGGGCTATCGTAATGAATGCACTTCAAGAGAGTATTATTTCACAGCGCTTACATTGTATGAGCAAGGAATGCAGGTTAATGGAACTAACTGCATCAACAATACTGCTTCGAAGTAGCGTCTTCCAAAAATAAGCATTTTTATGGTGCTCTGCTGAAGACCATGGATGTTAACAACATTGCACATCACACTACATTACAATGTACACAGCGACAGTGTACATTCCCTGAAAGTCAGTTTTACCATTTCATTTAATAACCTAATCTTCAATCGTTCAACCATAAAGCTGAAGTTGCAGCATGTGCAACCTGCCGACGGAGGGTGGAAAAAGTTTCCTCGACTCTGCGGCCTCACTCAACAGACTCGCATATTATGGTCTCAGCCAAACAGCGATAGTAAAGTGTGGCACCCTTTGACTGGACACAATCCAGATATTCTTTCTTTTTTTAATTTATTGAATACTTAACATGGCTGGCTACTCCCTCGTGTCGGTAAACACGTGGAGTTGTTCCTCTATGTCAGGGCTGTCAAACTCATTTCACATTGTGGGCCACATACGGCCTCGGTAGATGTCAAGTGGGACGGACCATTAAAATTATACCAGACTCTGCTATAAATAACCAAAATAATATGTCTTTCCTTTGTTTTGGTCTAAAGAAGCGCAACAACATCAGGAAAATGTTGAAATTTAATGAACATATCTTACACAAAACATTTCATGAAGCACTTTAGATTTCCTTAGACAATTGTGCAATTTACTTTTATCATTCACATATATGCATTGCAACTGATCCCACTGATTGTACAAAGGCAGAAAATTTGAACAATTGGTATTGAAAAATATAGTAATACACTTTAAGATTAAATGAGATTTATCAAGAAAGACATTTTTAAACCATTTACACATGTGCATATAAAATCTAAATTTAATCCCTGATTACACTTTACAAACTAAGGAGACTGCTATTAAATGTGTAAAGAATAAAGTATTCACATGTCCTTGATAGCGTCTGCTGTGGTGAGTCTGTCTCAGTGACACGCTGGGATTGCTGTTTTTTCTTCTCTGATCAAAACAGTGTTGTCTTCTACTCTGATCAAAACAGCGTGTCCCCTAGCGGATACACCATGAACTG